TTTAGAAAGTGCTGTGCCTACCTCAGCTCAGCCTCTGATGTGTTGAGGGTGCCCAGTGCTGCCTGGACTTACAACCAGGTTAGACGTTGTAGGTTTTTCCTATTGATGTAGGTTACTGGTTTAAAGAGCCTCAAGTCTCTTAATATAGACAGAGGTTCATCAGGTTAAAATGATTTATAGGCCTGGGATGGCCCTGATATTAAGAGTTCAAGCTGTATATGCAGTTCAGGATTTGGGACTGGAAGCTCTCTGTATGTCTTAGTCATGCAATTATTCAACGGGAGCTTTCATCAAATGGTTCTGTTCTTGAAAAGCCTGTCAAAGGTCTTGTCAAGACTGTGTTTCCAGATGAGCTGCATAGGTGATTTGGGTTACGTGGATTTCTTATTCATGTCAAATGAAGGTACTGTAATAATGTTCCAGAAATGCCATGAATTTGTAAGAGAGACTGTGCTCGGTGGCAGTTAGGTAAAGGTGAACATGACAGACAGTCACTCTAGGTCAGACCAGAGGTTCCTTCAGCCAGTGTCTGGTCTCAGCTGGGCAGGTACAGAATACCCCCGAAAGCATATGTATGCACAGTGGTGCTGCTTTCATCCACTTTTTGTCTCCCACTAATAGATGGATGAAGGATTTCCTAAGTCAGAGGTGATGTCTTTGTGTTTAATCGCTTCATAAATGGATTTAATTTTTCCCAGAGTTAGCCTACGCACTTTTTTAAAAACTATGTAGATGCGACTGCAAATATCCACAGAAAAACTTGGCAATATATTCCCAGTTTAAGTGTTTACAGTGGAGAAAAACCTGTTCGTTGGATGTTATTTTGGTTTTGAGCTTGACTTTCTATAGTCAGGTTTGATTCTCCTGGATTTTTACGTTGTGATGATGCGTGGGTGAACATACTTGAACCATCTTTTTACTCTTGTTCGGGTTCTATTAGTAGGATTTTTCCTAGCATTCCTGTAGGCACAGAGGGCCCTGCCTGCATGCAGCCAAACCAATGGAATATTGCATGTGCCCTCAAACTTCTGGCCTGTCGTTATGTACGGCCTGTGCGGATGCTGTGTCCTGCTGAGTTCACGTATGCACGACTCCTGGGAAGTCCTGTTGGAAAGCCTTCCGTAACGCAGAGGGTTTCAGGACTCTGGGCTTGTACAGCACTGTCCTTATGTGCTGGTGACAAACGAGACGAAGAAAAATCTCTGTCCAGTTCTTAATATGGCTCTTCCTGCTTTCATCAAGGTAGCAGTTTCCAGAAAACAATGTATCTGTTTAAATGTAGATGAGTTTTGGGGGGGGGGCAGGGTAAAACCAATTAGTTACCCAGCCCTGCGTCCTTCTAAGTAATGTGTATGCTTTGTGTTACCTGCCGGAGTCGCACATCTCTCCTTTCGAGGCTGAAGAAACAGCAAAGTCCCCACTTGTGTTGTGAGATCAATATAATATCATTGAGATTCAGCGAGTTTTGAGGTCATTGAGAGTCACTGTGTGTGTTTATTAGGACCTGAGTCAGGCTGTAATTTATCCAGTAGGATAGAGAATGCAATTTGACCCGGTTCTCATCCCTTAAAAAAGTTGCTGCTCTATTTTCCTTTGCAGTATTTTGCTGCTTGTTATGTAGCTTTGGGAGACAGTATGTAGAAATTAAGAGATCAAACTTTTATTAGTGGTGGTTTGTCTTTCTCTTCCTTAGGTTCGAAATGACACTTTGCAGGTTACGAGTTGTTTTCTTTCTTCTCACAAGTGCCTCAGCTGAAGCTCAACTGCCTGACAGCAGAATATGCAAGAAAACGGTGCACCATATAAC